ATATAGGTTTAAAAGTAAAATAAAGACGATACTTTACAGTGAGAAGCAGTGGGACATGTATCAGCATCAGCTTATACATGTCCCGATGTTTCCACTGCTGGGAAAAGGCCCCCCTCTCTGTACAGAGGGTATCAGGGTATGGTACACCACGCGGCCCCATTGCGGATTGGCGGTCTTCACGTTTGAGAATGTTTTTTTTAATATTATTTCAAAAATATGCCGGTTTTCTCACTTCTTCCTTCACCACGCAGCACGTGATAATTCAGCACTTAAAATTAACAATTTCATGGTTTTTCTAGTATAAAACAAAGGTATTTTATAAATAACAACAGAACAAGTCAATTACAAAATATTTTACACCGCAGGTAATAAAACTTCAGATTGACATAAAATATANCCTACTTGGCAATATTTCAAATTGAGAGAGGATGTGGCTCTAAAAATTAGTGAAACATAGTGAGCATTATTAGATGTACAATATGGCACATAAATGACGTCTTACTACCTTGGACGATGTTTACATTTGAAGTATTTTACTGAGTAGGTACGGAGAGAGGAGGAGGATGGTTAGAGAGAGAGAGAGTATTTACGAGAGCAAATATGTGGTACCTGCTATGCGGCATGTAACCTTTTACGTGAGATTGTACTGACGTATTAATAATATTTTTTTAATGTGAGATGGTGGTAAGCAAGCTGCCGGGTCACCTGATGTTAAGTGATATCCGCCGCCCTTAGATATTTGCAACAACCCTAGAGTTACCAAGTGTTGCAAAAACTTATAATAAAGTGGGCCCCGGTTACCTCAGTCGCCAGGAGAAACGCATAAGTATAAATAAGATTTCCACGTCACGCTGGTGACCCGGCAGCAAAATATGTTTAAGTGGGGACTTTCGGGGAGCCAAGACCTAGATTATGTGTGTGGAGCGGTGCAGTCCATGGCTCATTTTTTTCTTTTTTTTTTTTTTACCATTCCAAATTTTATTTAACTCTGTTAAACGATTAGTGGGATAAAAAGTAGAGAGACATTCATATATACAATATTCACGAGAACAAATATTTCCTACGTGTAAATGCGGCATATAAGCTTTTGCCATTACAAATGTTTTAAGTATTCAATTCTAGTAACCCATTAAAGGCTGAATAGGTAGTAAGAACGTGTTAGTATTAACTAGTACTAGTTTATATTGGTAGTATTACTGGGATTAATAATGAGATTGTACTGACGTATTAATAATATTTTTTTAATGTGAGATGGTGGTAAGCAAGCTGCCGGGTCACCTGATGTTAAGTGATATCCGCCGCCCTTAGATATTTGCAACAACCCTAGAGTTACAGATGTGTTGCCAACTTATAATAAAGTGGGCCCCGGTTACCTCAGTCGCCAGACGAAACGCATAAGTATAAATAAGATTTCCATGTCACGCTGGTCTTCTGTGATCTCGGGGTACTTCCCCGGATGGACCAGCCCATTCTTGCAACAGAGAAGACTTTTGCCTACCTACATATCCGTGGGATTCGAAGAAAATATGTTTAAGTGGGGACTTTCGGGGAGCCAAGACCTAGATTATGTGTGTGGAGCGGTGCAGTCCATGGCTCTTTTTTTTCTTTTTTTTTTTTTTTCATGTGAAAAGTTGCCAAACGAGCAGACAGTTCACCTGATGTTAAGTGAATACCGCCGCCCATGGACATCTGCTACACCCTAGGGTTCCAGATGTGTTGACAACCTTTTGAAAATTGGGCTCCGGCCACCTCACTCACCAGACAAAACGAGAAAGTATTATACTTCCAATTTACACCGGTCTTCTGTGAGGTCGCGGTACTTACCCGGACGAGCCTGCCCATTCTTGCAACAGCCGAGCTGAGGCTGCTGCGTGGCTCTACCACCGTTGCCACCATCACCATCTGTCTACCCGCCCTTCCACCTGTTCGCGGCAGGATTTGATGGACGGCACGAACTGTGCAATCGAAGTGGCCAAGTTCTGGGTCGGAAAAATCTAATTTGTCCTCGACACGCAAAGAAGAAGAAGTGGGATTAGAATTCAGTACTTTTATACACCAAACCGATGTTCTCGATCGCATATTAATGAAAACCACGCTTTCAGACCGGAGTTCTTATAAACCTTCATCAATTGAATTCTTACTTAGCACAAACTGGCCAAGTGTGAGTCGGACTCGCACACGAAGGTCCCGTACCATTATCTATAAAAACAGCAAAAAATCATGTATGTTGCCCCCACATAATTTTTTATTCTTTATTTTAGTATTTGTTGTTATAGCGGCAATACATCATCTGTGAAAATTTCAACTGTCTAACTATCACGTTTCATGAGATACAGATGGTGACAGACGGACAGACAAGACTCCAAGTCTTGGTAATAGGGTCCAGTTTTACTTTGCGTACGGAACCCTAAAAACAGGCACGTGAAGATATATGCACTGGTTATGTGATGAGGTTGTCGGTTAACCGTCGTGTATTACGCGCGTTGAGTCGGTTGCCTTGTTCGTAAGCTAGGACGGGCGTCACTGTAGCTGTGTTTGTCAGCACTTAAGAGCTGTGTGTAGTGTTGACGTAGGGTACAAGACGTGTGCACTCAGGTTCCCGGTAGTCTCCGAGTACTCGTGTCTTTTGGTTCGGGATCTTGGCCGAAATATTCGCTGAAAGTATTCGCTTAAAATTTGCATAAACTATCACGAGAAAGAAATCAACTTACAGTGCTACTTTTCATTCGCTTTGACAATAAACGATAAAATATATGTTTATTGGCGACCCGCCCCGGCTGCGCACGGGTGCTATATATGTATTATGCATATAAACCTTCCTCTATCTATTAAAAAACCGCATCAAGATCCGTTGTGTACTTTTAAAGATCTAAGCATAAAAACGGACAGACAGACAGTGCGACGAATTTGTTTTATACTATGTAGTAATTTCTTCTATGCCATGAATTTTAAGAAGTGTTAGCTCAATTCATTCTTTCTTTATTCTTTATTGTACACAGAGTATAAGTGAAAACAAAGTTACAAAAAAAATGTACAAAGGCGAGCTTAACCCTAAAAAGAGTTTTCTTCCAGCAAACCCTGAAATAAGATTGATGAGAAACAAATCATTATATTATGATAGGTAGGTGTGTAAAACTAGATATACTTATACTCTAAACTCAAAATATATAAAGAAGAGAAAAGTAAAATAGAAGTAAACTAAATCATAAAACGTATAATACTATAAAATATATAAAAATAAACATAGTAAAAAATAAATGTAGTAATATTAAAAATTTAATTGTATACGTACCGATGATTTACTGAGCCGTTATGGAGATAAAAAATGTACTTTCACTCTATTACGGAAAATTTCAAGCGATGAACTGGCCCGTATGCAATGGGGTAGCGAGTTCCATAGCTTAACCGCCTTCACAGTGAAAGATTCGCTATACCGACAAGATGAGTGGCAAGGAATTTTCAGAAAAAGAGATTTATTACGTCGGCATTGAGTACCGCATGGAACGAGAAACTCGAGCGTTCCCGAAGCAAGGAGCAGATTAAACAGCAGAAAGTAAAGGAAAGAAAGGATATGTAGATCTTGACGTTTACGGATAGAGAGCCATTTTAATTGCACTCTGAACTTAGAAACATGATCATATTTACGGAGTCCAAAGATGAATCGTATGCACAAGTTCTGAAGGCGTTCTAGCTTGTTCAATAGTACCTCCGTAGCGTCAAGGAAACAAACATCAGCATAGTCAATAGGAAGGAGAAGTGTATGAGCTAAAGTTATCTTTGTTTTCAAGGGCAAAAAGAACTGAAAACGTTTGAGGGATTGAAAAGAATAGTTTACCTTTTTACTTATGGTATTAACGTGAGACACCCATGACAATTGAGTATCAAAGACAACTCCCAAGTTTTTAGCAGAGTCTGAAAAAGGAATCTGAACATTGTTATAAACCACTGCAGGAAACTTGGAGTAGTCTATTAATTTAAGGTAATATGAACTGCCGATAATTAACACTTGCGATTTCATGTGAATTATTAAGATCTGTTTAGTAGGTTTTTTACTAAATAATCTGTATAATTAAATATACTAATGTAAGAACGGTAAATGGGTGAAAGTTGTGGGTATTTAATAACGTAGTTGTCATCCTACAAGGCGTTTCAATAACAACATGGTGGCAGCGGTAAATGGAAATCAAATATTAAATGTATTTAAACTGTTCGTTTAAAAGTGGATTAAAATATATTAATTTTCATTAAAACGGTGAATAATTCGAAACACCTGCGCGACTGCTGTTAACACATAGTTTGTGACCACAATCAGGTAGTCAAATAATTGCATCAATTTCTCATGGCTTATCAACCGACTTCGCAAAAGGAGGCTTTTGTCCGTACCCTTACGGTTTTGGAAAATTTTTAATTATGATTTTAAAAATATACGATATTTGAGAGCTGATCTTATTTACGCCATTGCGTATCATGCTTACGTTTTGTGAGTGAGGTAACCAAGACCCTCCATTTTCAACCGACCTCAAAAACGGAGGAGGTTCTCAATTCGACTGATTTTTTTTTTTCATGTTTGTTAATTGAGAACTTTCGACTGAGTAAGCGATTTTAATAATTCTTTTTTTATTTGAAAGCTGGTGCTTCCCATATGGTACCATATTAATTTCATTGGTATTGGATCTTGGGCTCCGGAGATATTTAGGAAACTCCTGAAAATCCATACTAATATTGTAAATGCGAAAGTAACTCTGTCTGTCTCGCTTTCACTCAAAAACTACTGAACCGATTTAAATGAAATTTGGTACACAGATAGTCTAGAGCCTGAGAAAGAATATAGGCTATTTTTTTATTGGAAAACAGTGTTGTAAAGGGTTGAAAGACACTTATTTAAGGGCTACAAAACGCGCGAAGCCACGGGCGAAAAGCTAGTCAGTTATAAATTGAATACAGAGCGAGATATTTATTTTTCGTTGATAAAATGTGACTCGTTTTGGCAATGTCAACAGGTGAATGGCGCGGCGATAAGAGGATGTTGGACATAACCAGAGATAAGCCCGTCAAAGTTTGCGTGCGTGTTGTGGTTCCGGTTCGAGATCATCCTAAAGTAAGTCAAGATTTAATTATATACTTCCTTCTTTTATTGCCTTTGTTACTAGATGGGGTCGACACAAAGCACAATGAGTGAATCATGCTGTTAATGTATCAGCAAGGATTGTTACTTTTTTTTTTGTATTGTATTGGGAACACACTCAGCATACGAAGCAAGAATTCGTGGGTCACACAAATACTTGTCCCGCTTGGGAAGCGAAACCACGACCCGCGGTGCCGAAGCCAATAGCTTAGCAACTGCGCCACAGATTTTTTTTATGTGAAAAATTGCCAAACGAGCAGATGGTTCACCTGATGTTAAGTGAATACCGGCGCCCATGGACATCTGCTACACCCGAGGGTTACAGATGCGTTGACAACTGTTTGAAAATTTGGCTCCCTCTACCTCACTCACCAGAAACGCGAAAGTATTTGTCATACTTCCACTTTACGCTGGTCTTCTGTGAGGCCGTGGTACTTAACGAATGGGCAATTCGTGCAACAGCCGAGGCTGCTGGGTGGCCCCACCAACGAAAAAGTTTAAGTTATAAAAAAACTGTCTAAGTACAAGTCGGAAAAAAATCATTTGTCTCGTATCGCAGCCCCACTTAAATTAAAGGGTGTTGGTAAAAGAAAAAGTCAATAAAGTGTAGTATAATATTAAACATAGTGATGCAGTAGGTGAAAAGTCAAACGTACATTATAATATAATGTATTTATATCTTCCCGCAGTTTAACTTCGTCGGTAAGCTGTTAGGACCGAAAGGTAACTCTCTGAAGAGGCTTCAAGAGGACACTATGTGCAAGATGGCTGTTCTTGGACGTGGTTCCATGAAAGATCGTCAAAAGGTTAGTTTATATTGAGACACATTTATAAAAGTAACAAAGGAACTTTAACTCCTGCTATAGGTTATTCCTCTTCTTGTTACACAAACTTCTCTTCATTTCTGGGTTTCTCTCTGAGTTAAAATTTTTTATTCGGAAATGTTTCAAATATTTATTATACATGTTTTAATTTTAAATTTACCACCGGTACACCAATTGATTCGGGTCCTCCAGAGGCTGTACAGAGAGGCCTTTACCCAGCAGTGGGACATGTATAGGCTGCTACTTTACTTTTTTACTTTAATATAAGAATAAATTTAACGAATTGCATTAAAATCATACAGGACTTCGACAAACTGCCAGTTGTTACAATTTTTATTCGGAATACTTCATGGTTTAGCGACAACCTCTAAGCGTCGAATTTACTAGTACAGATACGGTCACACCTTGTTTTATTTTCATGCAAACATAAATCCAAAGACATCATCGATGCTGCGACCGCCTGGTTCAAGTCTGACTACCAACAAATAACTGCTCAACGTCTTTGTGTTTATCTGTGCAATATATGCGTAAAAGCTACATTGAATGCGACATAATGGCAGTGGTGGTGATGTGTAGATAAAATGCAATATTACTTATAGGAAGAAGAGCTTCGCGTATCAGGGGATCCGAAGTTCGCGCATCTCTCCGAAGAGCTGCACGTCGAGATAAGCGCCTTCGCCACACCGGCCGAGGCGCACGCGCGCATAGCTTATGCATTGGCTGAGCTGCGGAGGTTCCTCGTACCGGTGAGCTCCGTTCCAGTCGAGGCTTACGACAACAATTTATTTTGCGTTTCTTTAAAAACATTTACCTTACTGTAGGATAACATTATCCTGTGTGAGGACGTTCTACAAACATACATTTCACGTGGACAAACATCCACACCTGGAACGATTACCTGTGGGCCTCACAAGTGAGTAATGTGTATGGATAGTAAATGGAAACAGAGCTCACGCCTAGAATTCTGCCTGGCTAGTCTCATCACTACATAGTATAAAACAAAGTCATCCCGCTGTCTGTCTGTCCCTATGTATGCTTAGATCTTTAAAACTACGCAACGGATCTTGATGCGGTTTTTTTTCTAGATATAGTGATTGAAGAGGAAAGCTTATATGTATAATACATTACATCAATACAGCAGAAGAATCTAATTTGTTTGAATTGAGCAAAACCTCATTATATCGTTATTTCGTTGGGACATCTCTCCCACAAATAGTTGTTTAAGCCTCGGAAAGATCTCCAAACAAATGATGGTAAAATAAGGAAAAGAAAATAAAAGCTGTGGTCAGAAAGCATATCAAAAAGTTTTAAGTTTTATAATAAGTTGCAGGTATATATAATATTTTAATGCAGCAGTATATGTTCAGTAAACATAAATGTAATAATTTGATGTAATCTGTAAAATAAAGTGCGTCTGTGAAATAATTCGCTATCCATACACATTTCTTTTAGTTAATTTTTGATGGATGTCTAGATGGTGTGTTTAAGAGAATCAAATTTTAATATAAATATTTTCATCCGTTTAGGATTACAACGACGACATAAGACAAGAGCAGATGCTGGAAATGCAGATATTGTCCTCGCAAAATGAACAGCGGAGACTGACCCCTCCGAATTCTTCTAGAAGCGGCAGTGAGGAGACCCTACCGCTGAGGGATGCGACACCAAAGCAAAGAGTGAGTGACAAATAAAGAGCTAGAATTAATCCATGGCTTCGTCATGGACTGTAGATCCCATCTCACATCAATGTGCAAAGAGAATTTCAAAAATACTGATTCACTGTTTCAACCTTCTAATCTAACTGTCTAACACTAAGTGTAGTCTGCTTATCAAATTTATACATTTCATACTAATATTCATTTCTTATTTTACATCCACCCACTTTAAAGGATATAAATTCCACCCACTTTAAAGGATATAAATTTTCTTGCCGCTGTCTGTTCCGTGTAATGAATCAAAATCGAAAATAGATATTAAACTAAATATATTTAATAACACCTCTCTCATAGTGTTGGTTCTGTGTTAAAAAAGCTAAATAAGTCCAAGCGCTGTTGAATGGTGAGGTTTTATGATTGAAATTAAAATTATATATAGCTTAACTAGGCAAAACTGTTTCTCGTGTAACGGAATCTTCAATTAAGAAATAGAACAAAGACGTACATTGTGTATTTTTATTGAAGTATTTCTTTGTTTATTTCGGATAAATTAGATGATAATGATGTTATAAACCTCATTCCACATTCTATCAAGAGTAAATATTTAAATTAGTTTGCCAAATTTTAATTAACAGAATGACAATAATGAAACAAATGTTAATTTAAACTGCACCAGCAAATTTTAACTGAATTGTAAACATTTCACTGATGAGCTCCTACATATAATTATTTAGTTCCTGCATTGTCAGTAATCATATTATATTGTTAAAACTTTAATTAATGAAAAATTAATAACGCTCGAATTTTAAAATATCATATTGCTCCTTCGTTTATTTCTGTGACAACTTGTATTATTTATGAATGATGGAATATTCTTTATTATACGTTAACGGTGCCATATAATAAAGAAAATGCTCCATCGGTGGTAGGGCCACGCAACAGTCTCAAGTCTCGTGGTATTCACTTGACATCGGGTGAACCGTTTGCTCGTTTGGAAACTTTTCACATAAAAAAAATAATAATAAAAAAGTGAGCTACGGTTTACCTCACTCGGCAGATGAAGCGTGAAGGTATAATAATTCCAGTTGACACCAATTTTTTATGAGACCATGCTACTTCCTTAGATAAGAGCCCACTGATGAGACCAGCTCCATGACCCTACCACAGTTGAATAGCGAAAGATAAAAGTCTAAACACAGTGTTTCCCAAGAATCAATAGCTGCATAAAAATGGTAATTATCTGAACTATTCACAACAGATGCCAAACGTTCAGCCGGCTCCCGTGCCGACGTCTCATCCGGCTGCCATCGCGATAAACCACGGCCCGACCGCCAGGGATTTCTCCCCACCAGCCCCTACACCGGCACCGGAACATATCCCCGCGACCCATCACCAGGTATACCCAAACCAGAAACAAGTGTAATATCTTCTGTTGGTATAATACTCGTTATAACGATGTAATGTTGATTAATAATAATAATAATAAAATATCTTTATTCACATAGACGCTTGCGCGTTCTTATGAAACGTCAAAATTTTACAAGAAATTAACACGTTCGTAAGTTACCAATGAAGATACCTATCTAATCTAAATTTAGCGCGATGCGAAAGAATTTCATATTTTCCTCGTCAATTCAACGAGATAACTTTAGGAATTATAAAAAGTAATGTGATCATTTTTCCGTTCCTCGACAGACTTATAATTTTATATAATACTTATTTTAAATCTCAAAAGAGAGAGAAATATAAAATATTTTAATATTTTATCATCATTAGACGAAAGACGTTTACTGTTGAATATAGGCCTCCCCCTTTGAACGCCACAACATAAATAATGATCCTATAAGCAATTATAAAACCGTAAGCGCTTCAGTGATTCAGTGCGAGCTTTTAGAGAAAGAGTAAAGAGTTAAGACCCTCAGATGATACAATTACCTTTATAGACATAAAACCGTCACGAGTGCGTAATACCAAAGTGGAATGCTAATTCAAAGCTACTTTTGTACCGCAAAAAATCATAAATTATCTCGTCGAACATTTGTCATGGTATGGAAAATAACAATACTCACTCATCTTCTCAACAAGTCGTGCTTTATGGTAAATTCTGTGAATACATTTTCGCATAAACAGAAAATATTTCCGGCTTCATACGAGTCAACAACCTTTAATACATGTTTGTATTCCACAATACTAATTACTTTTTTGACTTATTATAAATTTGACCCAAATGACCATATAATATACAAATACTGAGTACTTTAACTATGTACTTTTATTTAAATAATAGCTTAAAATTAACAATTTCATTTATACCCGCGTATAAAAACATAATAGCTGAAAACATCCCGCATGTCCATCGAATAAACTCTTAGACAAAGAACACAATTAAAACAATTCACTAAATTATGTTTCGTTTTTTTAAATTACTAGCTGTCACCAAGACCATTATTAATTCTTATTTCAATTTATCAATCATAAGTGAGCCTAGTCTATAGGTAGTAACGAACCCACCCTAAATGTGCCTCATGTTATTACATTACTGCTCTACTTGTAAGTTTCCGTAAAAACTACAAGAAACCGGTTCCATTTGACATATTGAAAAATTAAGTATTACTTTTTCAAGTAATTTTTTCAATGACGTATGTAACTTCAAGTAATTTTTTCAATGATCGTATTTTGGAGTTAAAATAACCAGAAAAGTTGCAAAATTCAAGGCAAGGTATTGTTATCACACCGAGATGGGGTTTCCATAACATGTGAAAAATGTTATAAGTGGTATTGGCTAAGTTTTTTTACGACCGGCAGCCTGCCTGACATCAACCCATTCAAACATACATTAGACGGATATTTTGAATCCTTAAGATTTCTTAATAATTATGGCAAAATACACCTCTTCGAGATGATTGTGCTGTAGTAATTGCAAAGCTACGATCTGAAGGAGATATACTCATTTTGATGAAAAATATTCCTCCGAAGGAAGCCCTGTTTAAAGTAGGAGGAAATTGAATTTGTAATATGATCGGTACTGCCATTCGCACTCTGCTAGCTAATTGCTAATTTATGTCCGAGAGTGCAGCAGACAGGGCATGGTTTAAAGTTTATTTTAATTATAGAATATTTTTATGTAAATGAAGTAGTATCTTAGTTATTTAACAAACTAAATTTAATATTGACTCGATTAACTTACAATTCAGAGAGTATAATATTTAGCTATAGGGCCTTACAGAGAGTAATGTGGCGGTTTTCTTTCTCTGGTATTACTAATCTAGGATGCAGTTTAAAATGAGAGATTAGTTTCTGTTTATATTTATGTGTATAAGTGTACTAGTTATATTTAATACCTCTCTCACAGATAGCGGCCGGTCACCCAAGTCACGGGGTTCTTGTTGGAAGTGGCGTACTTCAGCAGCCGCCAACTCATCATTTACTCACGCAGAATTCGATACTAGGTAATGTCATACAGCCGTCATTATTATTGAGACTCATATCCATATTAATGTCGGTGTTTTAATGAGACGCGACGGATCACCGCCGATTAACATTATATTATCAGCATGGCATTTAATGTTTTCATCATTATCCCTATTAATTAACCTTTTAAGTTTTCTCGTGTTACTTAAAACAGCTAGATCAGGTACAATAACAGACAGCAGAACAAGAAGAGAATCAGAAGCATAAAGAAAACTGATTACCAAAGTCCACCTATTCTCTTCAACTAAATACGGGTTCCTTAGAGTGGATGTTTTGAATCTAGTTTCAGACCAATTTGCTAACTTTGGTGCTCGCCGATCTATTTCAAAGCTTTCAGGATGTAATTTCTTTTTGAAAATTTTTCTTTTCTTTTTGAGTTGCGTCCAAATAATACGCCTCTGCAAAATTGATGAAATTTAACAACGGAAATTTGGCTGGAACCTTTTAATTATGTTTTTGTGTATAATTTTTGATGCTTGGTTAATAATACTATGATATATTAAAAATAATAAATTGCGTATTGTAATGTATAACTACAAGTGTTAAAGTCTGTTTCGATGAGTATAGAAGAGATGATAGAAAGATTACATTAACTACTGTAAAATCTAACTAATATAAAATCTCATTATTATACTCTAGAAACACTAAATGTTATAAAAATGTGATACAATATTTTCATTCTATTAAAAATTATGATGAGTCCTGAAATTTCTTTATATCATTACCATATTATTTTTGATTCGTATTTTTTTAGTTTTTGCTGTCAACCATAAATGTTACTTTATAAAGGTAAAACGTTACCATGAAATATTAAAACTGTATACGATGCAAAGTTTAGTTCTAGTGATGAAAACCTTATTGGCCCACAAATCTGTGTGTATTTGTACAATTTATTTCGTGTAAGTGATGTATGTTTTCCAAACCAATAAAATAAAACAAAAGGCAGGTTACTAATTAGCGAACATCTCCTACAACACTTCTAGACAGAAAGTATGGCAGGACTGTTCCATTTGCATCTGCGTAGTGCTTTTGGTAGTCTATGCAAGGTGAGGGTATCGGGGAAGGTTCGTCCTTCTCGTTCTCCTTCTCCCTCTCCGAGGTGTGCTCAAGCGCACCGAGGGACACCGGTGCGTTCCGCAGGAGATCCTGGAGTCCCTCCAAACTTACAGGTACAGAATGTGGCCACCGAGGCGGTTTTAGTGGGCACGAGCCCCTCATAACCCCGTCACGTGAGAGGTGACAGAGTATCTTTTGAAGATTCCCCCCTGATAACAAAAAAAGGACTGTTCCATAGCAGACTTAACGTCTGTAACACTGTCGCTGCTTTGCATAGTAACACAAACTAACCGTGCACGACTAACTGGTACTAACTAACAGGTGGCGGCGATATCCTAGGTCTGAGCAGCCCTGTGCTAGGTGGGGTTTTACACGCCCACCCTGCTTTGCGAGGCGTGAAGCCCGCGACTATGCACGCCCTCGCGACGCAAGGTCGGTACGTCAAATTTTATTCAGCCACCATTTCTTTATGCATTCTTTAAGCATCCTTACTAATATTATAAGGGCGAAAGTTTGTATGTATGGATGGATGTTTGTTACTCTTGTGACGCGAATACTGCTGAATGGATTTTAATGAAACTTTACAATAATATCGCTTATACATCAGAATAAAACATAGATTTATGTACATATTATAGTCTTTCTGTATGAATGTTACGCCTTGAGCCTATTCTACGCAGACTTAGTGGCGGGCGGCAGCTAGTTGTTTTATAATCCGGAGATCGCGTCAACGGCTGTTGTTATTTTATTCATGCAAGTCCGCGTCCGTTATTATACAATCGCCTCCCTATCACGCCGCAGATAATTTGTCCACTATGCGTGTTGTTTTCAGAACCGATACTAGTATTATGACAATCGATAATAACCATCTTTTTACTAACAAAAACAAAACCAACTTGTACAACTCTGTATTCATTTTAAAATTGATTCTCAGTCAATAACCGATGAAATTAATATGGGGATCACACGGGAAGCACTAGCTTTGAAATAAAAAAATAATCATCAAAATCACTCAGTCAAAAGTTATGAGGTAACAAGACATAAAAAAAAATACAGTCGAATTGAGAACTCTCCTCATTTCGAAGTCGGTTAATAATTGAATGTAATAATGCTCAATAAAGATATTTTTAATTTGAATTTCAACGAGGTCCATATGAAGGATTGACGATTTTCCCGATCTACTGAGGACCCGTCTTCCGCCTTGATTTTCGCAACGCATGTCACTCTTTTCTTGTGGATGACCATTATACCACCAGCTGACCTGATTGTGGCAAACGAATCTCTATTTGTAAAAGACACGGTAAACAACAAGCACACGATATCCTCGGAGACCAAGCATTTTTCTTTATGTGAAATTTTGTCAATCGATTGGGCGGTTCATCTGATGTTAAAGAAATACAGCCAACCATTGGCATTCACAACATCCGATAAACCTATTGAGTGTTGTAAATGGGTGGCTGATGCGTTGGCAACCTTTAAAACCGAGTCTGACTGCACGAAGAGCTCCTTACTATTGTTATTAAAACCTAACATGTTATTAATATATTATCTGTTATTAAAAAAAATGTATTTGCTGTTATAGCGGCAACAGAAATAGGTATATCATCTTTGAAAATTTCAACTGTCTCACCATCGCGGTTCATGTCATACAGCCTGGTAACATATGGACATACGGACAGACGGACAAAATGACAAAAATACAAAAAATAAATACAGACAAACAGACAAACAGACAATCAGACAATCAGAAAAACAGACAAACAGACAGACAAACAGACAAACGGACAGACAAACAGACAAACAGAGAAATAGACAAACAGAGAAATAGACAAACAGACAAACAGACTAATAGACAGACAGCGGTCTCTTAACAATAGGTTCCGTTTCAACCTCTGGGTGTAGAACCCTAAAATGTGGGTACCGCCTACCTCGCTTACCGGACGAACACTTCACGGCGGCCTTTTACGACGAGGCTTTTTTTTCCGTGAGAATAATCCTCTATGGATTCCCTGCCACTGGATGGGGGGAGTGGCAGGGGTATGTGGGAGTCCCGGTGAGAAACGGGTACCCACTAAAAAACCCACTTTGCACCTGTCTCTGTCGCATCGGACGGGCACACGGGAATACGCGGACGCAATCTTCCGCGACCCTGGCGCGACTATGGCCTGTTTAGGCTTCCTCTACTATATGGTGCTGTGCCGGTGCATTCTCCGGCGAGACTGCCCATTCGCGCAACAGGAGTTGCATCACCAGACGCTGATGGAGCTCCTTCCAGGTGCGGGTGGGGCTGCGAGCGCGGCGCGCAAGCGGCCGCTGCTGGGTGGCGCGCGGGCGGCCATGTCGCCGACTAAGCGCGCCGTCATCTCGCTGCTGGCGCGCGCGCGCGCCGCCACCCACAAGCACGCGCCCGCGTGGCCGGCGCCGCACGAGTGAGTCCATGCCGTTATTGACACCGACCGCCGCCTTATGTAATTCGAATGGATTCTTTTTTCTTTTGTTTTTTTTTTGTTTTAACTGCCAGTGCTTATGCTTTAATAATTTTGTTTAATTGAATAATCAAAAAGGTAACAAGACCGCAGAGTTTCTTGACGGTCCTCCTCTTAGCGGGTCTAGTTTAGTTTGAATTGCTGGTTTTATGCTTTAATAATTTTGTTTAATTGAATAATCAAAAAAAAAGGTAACAAGACCGCAGAGTTTCTTGGCGGTTCTTCTAGAAAAGTCTAGTTTTGTGGACCGGTTAAGAGGACCGGTCAATAAGAGCGTACAACAAGCTTACATTGAATTAAATTTTTTTTTTCTAAATATAAAAAAAATCACGTTTAATTTTTTTAGGTATTCCTTTCGTTTATAAGCGGCCAATGGATTGTTTGTTGGACAGAATCAGTAATTTTTTTATAGTTAGTTTTAATTTTTTTTAGTTTTTTTGTTATGGAAGTTAAAACATAAAATTATTATTAGCCACCATAAATCGAATATACGAATTGCCATTGAAATTCACCATGAAAATACGAATTGAATAATGCGTTGTTTGTTCGCTTTGAATCGATGAAACGTCTTATTTAATTTAAAACTTTCAGCATTCAGTAATAGTTTATTTTGTTTCAGGCACTCAGCCCTACTGCCATTGATTCGCGACGAGTTTGTAACAGGCGTGGGGGTCAATATCAATTTAGCCTAAATAGAAAATTATCGACATGTATTGAACATATTCATTTAATAAATCACTATTATAATGCTGAAATAGTATCTAGTCATGGTTTTCCGTACATGTTACGTATTAAATATTATTTACATAATAGCCATTAATCCTCACGATTGCTGTATGAGGTAGTAATGCTAAGTTTAGACTAAGACACCATTCACAGTGCACTCAGGTATGTGTGCTTAGGGTTGTCTCTAATTATGACGTTTTATGTGACATGATAATTAGTGACGAATCCGCGCCGGTGTGAACACGTTACGTCGTCTAGAAGATAAGTGTCGCGCGTTACAAAGAGACTAAAAAATGCCATATAGTGTGTGTGTGTGGGTAGAGTGGACGACTAAAGATTATAAAAATAAAGTTTCTTACAGCACTGGAAGCGACATAACTTTTCGTTATATTTGTAATTAATAAGCATTCTTTGATTTTTTTTCATCCTTCTGTATTCATTCGTTCATATAATTCATCCTTCCGTTCTGGACTTTTTTAATTTATTTAAAATCCAATACTGCTTTAAAATTTACGTCGTTGCTTGTTGTTTACAATATAAACATCAATAGCGTTGGCATGTCACTTGGTTGGTGATCAAGCACCAACCGTTTGGTGCTTTCGACTCTTTTGCATGTCATTCGCTAAAACATAAAGTAGATACTGCCCAGACACTTGTGCCGCAATTACTGCCCTAGTCTAAATATAGCATTACTCCTGAATCAAAATAGCTTGGACCGAGCTGGATCAAAAGGATGTCGTCTATTAACGTTCTTTTACATGTCTTAAGGAATTATTACCAAATGTATCTTTGCCTTTAACAAGCGTAAGTGCATTAATTAAATCCTTGTTCATTATTTATTGAGAATCTATGTATGTATATTATGGAGTTGTTGATGAAATGTATTCGTGTAACAAATTATTTGGAAGTCCCTGAACTGAATGATGTAAGGAATCATTTTTTAAGTCAATTCCGGTGAACCCCGTTTCATTTAGGGCTTTTGAATAATTGTATGTATATTAAGTGGAAGGACCATAATGTGTTAAATGTATGTCCTAGGCCTTTTAGATTTGTATATAAAATTTTTAATGTTAGTATAAGCCAGACAGACGAAGTGATAGCTATGAAAAAATTAAATAATGAAAAAAATATAATAACATATAAAAACATAGAAAATATCAATGATAAAATTACAAGTTATAGAGAAGAAACAAGAAAACACAGAAATTAAGGCAAAATATATTATTTAATGTAGTTTACCTATTAAATAGTTTTTACTTATTAAATATAATGTTAGAAAAAATTTAAATACTGATGCTTTTTCTTTTAAAAGAATATTAATTAAGAAATTATTAACGATATATGCTACGCAGCACCTTTGATGATAAAATTTTATTTAAATCACAATTGACAAAGCAACTTAAATATAACACTGGCACCCAAAATATTAACTTTTAAATTTTTTATATCAATATTCACAATAAATTTTTATTAACTCGAAATAATTCAATATATAAAATAATATTTATTAATGTTTACGTATTAAAATAAAGAAATAAGATTAATTAGTTAAAATATTAAATAATTAACGTCCAAGATCGCGTTAATCTGTTGGCTAAAATTCTAAAAATGTTCATTTTCAAATATCCATCAATTTTTAGCCAATTTTAGATTCCTTCCTAGAAAAAATAAATGTCATTGCTGAAGTAATGAATTTGGTATCGAAATTACAAATTAGAAAACAGATTAAAACAATGTCTGAATAGGTGAAAATATTGAAACAGATAATACTTTTCGCAATAATTACCAAATCAATTTTTGCCTCGTTGGCCAACTCTGGTCGCTCGAGCAGAGACGAGAAGGCTCGTTTGACTTACTGAAAAATTCTAGTGAACATTTTTAGAAAATTTAACCAAATAAACCTAATCATTTATAATCATAAATTTATATGTAATTTAAAATAGTTACATGTTAATGTAGACGATTCACCTTTATTGCTATACGAAAGTTTACAATAAAATAAATTTTAAACTGTAGCGTAAGTCTCGTCTGTGTTTTGTGATATAAGTATAGTTAATATTCCTTCACATATGATTTTATATTATGTCAACAAAATTCACCAAATCTTTATAAGTAAAAATGTTGACATGTTGACCAGTTTTGAATGAAGTAAGGTATACAACTTTTATCTGATGAGGATGTATAATACGTTTCATAAAATGTTGACAAAAATCTTGCAATAATGGCTCCACAGTCTTCTGAATTATTATTATAGCCTAAGCTAAGCTAAGCCTATTATATAACTTAAGAAGTTCTACATACATGTATATGACTGTACTGTGTATATGACTCAATATTATTTATATACGTATATTATAAAACTTTAAGTTACCGTTAATACTGCCAAAGTCTCATTTAGCCCCCGAAAAACGCAACCTAAGTTTCAATATCAAATAAGTGGGTTAGGAAATTAATAATTCAATACACAGAGTTTAAACTGCCCGAAAACTGAGATTATCAGCCATCATAGGCATTTCAAGGTCTTAATCATGGAAAAGTTGTGAAAATTTTGATTTACATAAGTGCATGTTTATTTCATTTCATTTTTTTTTTTCATTCCTTTCAAAGTATTTTCACACTCGCGATAAAAAATATTTTGATCCACTATAAAAGTACCACCGGCCCTGCATAAGAATCTTCATTACTCTACTTCATTAAACTTGACAGACTCGCGGAGAAATTGACAGAAATATATTCAAGAGACGCACAACATATTATTTTTTATATTTTATGAATGTTTTGTCGTATTTTACGTTTTATACAAAAGAGCAAAGTGTATAATATAATGTGGCAGAAAATATCTTTATGTTCTTCGTATGTGAATTCATAATGTTCATTTAGTATATAATTATTTTATAATTTATTTTCAAATGAATATCTTCTTTTTTATTGATTTCTTATTTTCGTGCGAATATCTATTATATATATTATATATAACAGAAAATTTTGTATTGAGATATGACATGATTATTATCTTTATATATTTATATAATTCTTCTGTAGGTGTATATGTCACTGAACTTTTCCTAAACGGCTGGACCGATTTTAATGAAATTTTTTGTTGTCTTCCGGTGGAATAAATTTAGATTCACAAAGTTATGTTATTCGAAAAGTTTGAAATTTTCGAATTTCAGACATGTGTAGAGGACAACGTCTGTCCGGTCCGTTATATCATATATGATTGTTGAATATTTCAATTTAAAATAGGAATGGAGGCTCTTTACTGGTTAACTTGTTTAAATAGGTATTTCTTTAGATATAAGCACATCACAACATTTTGTTGACGTTTTTGTTTTTTAATTAGGTTCTTTGTTTTTATTTGGTTAGAATATATTAACTACTTACGACATAAAGGGATGATTTCTGACTTAATAAATACGGATTATAAATTGTTTCATTACGTCGATGGCAAATGATTATGCTTATTAAATTTAATATTCGAGATGTTCTCATGACAAAACTTGTATACAATATTTTCAATTACGTTGTGGTAAGAGTATGCTACAATTATTAATTTATGTTTATATTGAACAAATGTTTAAACATGAGTATTTAGCACATTAAATCTGTAAAAATGTGAACCATTGTTTACTTTTATGATAACGAACCAATTAGAAATTATGTCACTTTATTTTGTTTATACTACTTTATTATTTACGAGTTTATAATAATAAATAATTAGAATTTATTTTACTTTTCATTGTATATATTTCGTTTAAAGGACAAGTCCATGCCATGCTTATCCATTTCATTTATTTTGTATACGCAATGTATCGAATAATGTTTAAATTATTTATTGCCATTACATATACTAAGAAATTTATCACTGTTTAATTTACTACTGTTATATACTTATGTTCATATGATATGATGAGTATAATTTGATAAGAGCACTGTATTGGTGTTGAATGAATTGTTATTTATTTTAGACAGTTCTTACGCATTTAAATAATAGTTTACTTCTTCATTCAAAAATACGTTTTATGTTATTTAATATGTTTTTTATTGTTCTTTTATATTGCATTAATATTTTATTGTAAGTATATTAACAGTAATCATCATCATCATCATTTCAGCCTGTTTGAGTCCACTGCTGAACATAGGCCTCCCCCATAGACTGCCATGAAGTACGATCCTGAGCCACCTGCATCCATCGACTTCCCGCACATTTGCAAGGTCGTCATCCATCTAGTGGGGGGTTGGTCCTAATGCGATGACCAGTACGAAACTCGACTTAACAGTAATATTTTATGAGAAATTGGAATCTAATGACAAACTTTTCATATATTACCTCCTTTCAATTTGTTTATGTAATGGATCAACTTTGATTATACCCAAAGTTATATGATCACATCACGCTGTAACTTTTCTGCGTAATAAAGACAGAAGACTTAAATTCTTGGAAGAATATGACTGACGTGTAATTGAAACGACCTGTACTTTAAACCATACAGGGTTGTTTTACTTTCTCGGTACTCAGTTTTTTTTTAAAACTAACTGTTCGTTGAAACCCTGAGCTATATTATGTGACGAATATAATGTATATGTGTCAATATGGATTGATTTTGCGGTGACATTTGAAATTTGTTTTACGCATCTACAATAATATCATGTGTAGAAATAAATTAATGTTATAATAAACTGATTTTTATTCAAACCCAAACTATAGTTCTTACTCGTATATTTTAAACTGAGAAGATTATTCAAAATAACCATCAAGGTATTCTAATGCATAAGAAATAAGAAATACCGTTCCTCATGCGATGTAAACTCCACCCATATACACGAAAAAGTAATATATCATGTCGTATGTAAGCTTATGTTGCATCAATCATACATTCTAGTTCAGTGTAATTTTGGATTTCTATTTAAATGCGGGTCACTCAGAATTTTATTTCATAAATCTCTCGCGGTTTTCTTTCAT